ATGTGTAAAACCCACTGTAACACTCAAAATAAAACACAAGATTTCATGAAGTCTCAAGCTTGTGGTAGGAATTGCGGGCTGTGCCAAGACCACATGCCCAGGGTTGTCCTTTTCTTCCCTCCCTCCTTGGGCCTTTTCTAGCAGAAGTTCTGCTGTGTCACCTGTTCAGTCACCACATGAGCTGCTTCATTGGGATCATGGCACTGATTCACAAAGTCACAAATCTCTTGACTGTTCACCATGAAGTTAATTCCATCCGTAGTGAGGACCAGGAAGCTGTCATCAGCATGCTGTAGCTGCAATCACAACCAAATGCATGTAATTATAAACTATACTCTGCCCCGGAATAATCTTGATAATACCAAGAGTTTATCTATTTTGCAGAGTGTCATCTGTGTAAGAGCTTATAGGCAAAAAACAGTGAAAATGCAAAGCCCATATGTAGAGCAAAAGTAGCAACATTTAGAACGAACCACCAAGGACAAACTTAAAATTTACTTAGTAACACCACAAAGGAAGAAGCCAGATGGCCAAATGCTGAGAGGTGACACAAAGTAATGACTAAGAGTGCCATCTCCAGAGCCAGCCTTCCTAAGTTTGAATCCTGCCTCTTTGTTATTTGGCTGGGTGAGCAGAGAATTGATCTCTGTATGCTTTAGATTTGTTTTCCTAGTACAATGGGGATAGCAGTACCTATTTGGAACAGAGCCTGGCACATAGTAAACCCTACATAAACATTTGTTAGATAAAATTAATGTGAGTGGGATATCTATGACATGAAACCCTTCATGCAATTTATTAGCAAACGTTTGCTGCCATTATTGAAAACCTACACTACCCTGTGCCAGGTACTACAGTTGGCTTCAGGGTTTCAGAGAGGGAAGTGCCAGCTTGCCGACTGGGCATGTGTTGGGGGCAGTCCAGGGTAATGGGGACCCTGATTAGTACCATGCAAACGTTGCCACAAAAACAGAAGTGGGCAATGATTTAGCTTGTTGGAAAAGGGAAGTCAGGGACAGCTTCCAAGGGGAGGTGACGCTGGATGATCGGGGGTGCAGGTGAGGAAAAGCAGCAGAGCCATTCTACCGGGAGAATTCCACGAAATGCCGGGGCAAAAATAAACCAACAACTTCTTCATACATTAGGCCCGGAAAGTAGTATCTAATTTTATTTACCCTTCCATAAATTACTCATTTTTTTTTTTCCTAAAAGATGACCAGTAAGGGGATCTTAACCCTTGACTTGGTATTGTCAGCACCATGCTCTCCCAAGTGAGCTAACCGGCCATCCCTACATAGGGATCTGAAACCGTGGCCTTGGTGTTATCAGCATCACACTCTCCCAAGTGAGCTAACTGGCTATCCCTATATAGGGATCCGAACCTGCGGCCTTGGTGCTATCAGCATCACACTTTCCCAAGTGAGCCACGGGCTGGCTCTAATTACTCCCTTTCAAAAATCATTTTGGGGAGCTGGCCAGTTAGCTTACTTGGGACAGCATGGTGCTGATAACACCAAGGTCAAGAGTTTGGATCCCCACACTGGCTAGTGGCCAAAAAATAAAAATAAAAAAACAAAATAAAAATCATTTTCGGGCTAGCCAGTTAGCTCAGTTAGTTAGAGCTGTTCCTCATAAAAATCATTTTGGCTTCAGTTAAGGCTTCTGAGACAGCCTGTAGCTAAAGACAGCCCTACACTCATTCTTTACACATGTATCAACTATTTTCAAGTCCTTTCTCACCTTAATCCTCTTTGTCTCAGGTTCTGCTATCACGCCACTGGCTTTAAGATCCAGATCTCCAATACTCCTTGTCATTGCAAGTCTGCCATTTACATGAGGCTGTCCCAAACTATTCCAAGCTACAAAACCACCACATTTCTTGATCCTGGTCAAGAAAAAGTTAAAAGACAACGATGTGATATGCAGAAAACCAAGTCACTGTTAAACTTAAGCATGACATCAGTTTATAAATGCAAAATTTCTGGCCAGCCACTCAAAACAAAACAAAACAAACAAAAAAAAAAATGCAAAATTTCATTTCTACCTTGAACTGTAAACATTACCCCTACAGAATGATCAGTCAGTGCTGGTACTACCTTTCCTTTTCATCTTTTCTTT